AAATTAACTATAATGTAGTATAGTGTATAGTATAATATAATAAGCATGTTGATAATAACTCTATATTAATTATATTTAATATATTATGTTAGATATTATATTAATACATTCTCAAACTCAAAATCAAAACATCAAACTTAAAACACCTAAAAAGTGTTTTGAAATAAGTGTTGTGTTTTTTGTTTGATGGTGATTTAGCTTAAAAACACCATGGTTTCCAAACATATTGTGTTTTGTTTTTGGCAAAAACACCATGGAAACAAGGAAAACACCATGGTATCCAAACGGAACCTAAACTAATAAAAAGCATATTTCACAAACTAATTGGGTGTATCTTGAGCAATTAAAAAAATCTAAATTCACATAAAGAATCAAAATAAACATTTATGCAGTGGTATTGAACATATGTTTGCATATAATATTATTAGCAATCAAAACTCATAGTAATTTAGAAAAACTAAGCGTGTAATATAAATATATAACATAGTAAAATATTTTTTAAGGATACGGGTAAAACTTCAATTACCAAGAGTCATATATCATGCACATTGTATATGGTACTTAACTTTTGCATACATGCACATTCACCAACTTTGATATTGACAACTATAAATTGATCATTAATATTTGGTGATCTTAGATTGCCCAAGATTGAATTTGTCCAAATGATTTACATTCTTATCAAGGACATTGTCATACAATACATTACCTCAATATGCCATTGGGATAATTGGATAGCAAAACCTCAATGAGAAAAATTTACAAACAAATAAGCAACAAAGAGGAAAATTTACAGATAAAGAAGCAACAAAGGGGGGAAATTATAAATAAAGAATCAACAAAAAGGATATGTTTATGTACCATAACAAAAAGATACATATATAAAATGCATAAAATACTTCAAAAAGATACCCAAAACAAACACAAATAAATATTGGTAAATGATACTGTAATATTACTGCAGCGTAAATAGTAAATATTGGTCTCTCCCACTTGTATAAAGGAATAGATACACACACAAATAAATAACCCTAATTAATAATTTTTTTTTGTGATGAGTAAGTAGGCATCATGTTTTTAAATTTCCGTTATACTTTTTCTTTCTGATTCATAATAATGAATTAGGGACCAAACTTTCTACGCTTGCCAAGTTGCCATATTCTCCCCAAAGATATTTAGGCGGCTATTTTCGTTAGGGGAGTGGATAAACTGGGTGCGGGAGAGAAAATTGAGATATCACCGAAGTGGCACAGATGTAATTTCGGGGAAATTCGTGCCTGTTAGTTAGCACAGTACACGAGCCGGCAGTGCAGCAGAGAGGTGATCCGATTCCCATGTAAAAGCGGCGGCAGGGTGAGGTTGGCAAGAGCGGATGATTAGGCGCTGTACGAATATGTGCATAGACGTTGTATGCGACCAAGAGGCTGTTAATTTGCTTGATAGGGAACCTATTTTTTTTTTTAAATATCACTTACCAAACAAGAAAAATAACATCTGTTTACAGAAAGTTTTTCTACAAATTGATTTCTACCAAATTATAATACAATCTAAAAACCCCTAAAGGTAAAAAAGACCATTTAGTTTGTCTTTAGGGGCTGTTTGGTTCGTTTCCTTGATATAGAGAAATGCAATTCCATGTAAAGAAACACAAGTTTTGAGTTTTCCAAACTTTTCCAAGAAATAGATTGTTTTGCTTTGGTTCGCACATAAAAAATGATGGGAAACCAATGTATTTATTTTTCTTGTGTTTGGTTCGCATAGAAAAAAAAAGGAAAACTTTTGTAAACAAAGCAGAGAAGGAAAAAAATCTGACGTGGCAGAGTTTTCATCAATTTCACTTGGTTGGGGAAGGAAATCGGAGAGGGAAAACAATCTTAGTTGGCGACGATTTCAGCAGAGTTTTCCCTCTTCCATTCGAGCGAACCAAAGCGGCACAAAGAAATGGACGGAAACAAAAAAGCTGACGTGGAGAGCTAAAAATCTGACGTGGAGGGGTTTTCTGAGTTTTCCACCCATTATAATAGCGAACCAAACAGCCCCTTAGAGAACTCTTCTTAACTTTGAATCATTATCAAATAACCCTAATAACTTCCTTAACTGTCTGTTTGGAAGCTCACTATGCGAAGAGAAGGAACCACAACGAAGTAAAGAGAAATTGTCAATCTTTCCTTTCCCTCATTCACCGCCCAATTTGGGGTGTAGGATTTTAGTCCAAAATATTCACACCTTTCCCTCCTCTATCTTCCAAATAAAACTTCTAAATAATGTTAAACTCAAATTTCTCTTCCACTTCTCTTATCTACCCTCCATCTAAACAAATCATAAGTTTAGGGGATCTTTAAAAAACCCTCTTTAAACGTAATATTGTTTCAGAAAATCTGTAATATTATTTTTGATATTTTTTCAAAATCCTCTAAAAGAGTAAACCACACAATTCTCATTGGTTAAAATTATCAGGAAACCTCCTAAAATTATCTTTTCAGTATAACTTTTATTGTTAAAAAATGTTTAATTCCATTCAGTTTTTACCTTTCCTTTGTAATATCCCTCAATGGTGTTACTTTTTTTTATTTCAAAACTCACATTGCCTCGATTGACATTAATCCAATTAACCATAACCATTGACAAAGAGAAATTTAGTAGAAAATCTAAGCAATTTCTTCAAAGCTTTTAGTTTCTTATCCATGTTTTATTTTTGAGAGAAAGGAAGAATATGTTAAGGGGGTGTTATAGTCAATTGATACATTTTCATGCGAAGTGAGATAATTGTAAAATTGGAATAATTTTTTTCTGGTGAGATATTTTAGTGGGATAAATATGAATTTTATGTAGCGGGGTATTTTAATAAAATAATATGGGATGATTTTTTATAATCATGAAATATATTTTATGTATTTTGAGAATATAAATACTAATTTTATGTATTTTTAAACTTACTATTATTAATTGATAATTATTTATGAGAATGTTATTTACTATTAAATAACTTTTGGTTTGGCTGTAAGGTATTGACAATTAATATTATAATAAATGTTGCAGATTTTTTATTTTTCAATTATTATTATAGTGCATGTCGAATTTTTTTTCACATTTTCCTTCGTTTTTCGCTCCCCGAGATTTCTTTCCCTCATCTCTCAATTTTATTGTTTAATAAATTATGAATTGATGCATTTACTTTTAAATTAATTACATAATTATAATATTCTGTAAAAAAATATCAGAGATGACAAAGAGGAGACGAGATCTAATCTAACGACATGGTCTAATGATAGTGATGACCATAATAGGAAAGAAATAAAGAAAAAAGAAATATAAAAAAAATGAAAATTATTAAAATTAATAGAAGTTCTATTTGTTACCACATAGTTCCAAGCTAAAACTTGAGATAATTTGAGAACTAAGAACTCTCATTTTTGTATAGAAATATAAAAAAGGGGATACTTTTTGCATAATTACCCTAGTTCTAGTTTTGTTAGAGTTCTAATTGATTAACATTGTAAAAATTTATTCTAGTTTTAGTTTTAGTTGGTTAACACCATAAAATGTTATCCCGCAAATTATCATAGTTCTAGTTTTAAGTTCTATTTGACTAACCCCCAAGAGAAAAAAAAGAGGAGGATAATTTTTTAGAAAAATTCCTCAATGACCCAAAATATGGGACCAATATTATGGCTAACTCATTATCCAATAAGAGGGGGATACCTCACTTGTCCCCCCTATTTGTCCCATATTTTGGGTCCATGTAACAAAGCTTAATTTTTTAATACAAATCTATTTTATTAGTCTTTTTTAACAGCAAAGCGTCTTACAATGGAAAAATAATAATTACCCCTTTAAAACAAAAGTAAGAAGGGGTAATTAAATTTAGTCCCGTAAATCTTTAATAATTTCGTAGTAGTCCATTAAAATCTTTAAAATTTCATATTAGTCCCTCAAATTTTATGGAGTCTTACAAAATGATCTCTCTTTTAGTAATTCAGTAAAAATATCTAATTATGGTTGACTTAACTCCAAACTGTATATCTGCAATTACCATGCTGCTCATATCTCTTCTGTTTTCAACCTTTGTGAAGTTCTAAATTAAGGTTATTTTCTAACCATCGGAGAAGAAGAGCTCAAGGAGGTTTGGTTTAATTTTGTTAGAGTATACTTGGTTTAAACCCACTGAGAAACGTATTGCAGAATATAAAGGAGGGGTAAAATGGTAATTTTACCACCAACTGTTAGATTTGATGGAATACTTCACTCAAGTCTAAAACGATTAGCTTACAAGATGATTCCGCAAGATCCTATAGGATTTGAGGGAGTAATATGCAACTATTAAAGATATAAGGGACTAAGAGCATCTCCAACCCAACTCTAAAAACCCAAAATGGAGCAAAAACTGCGTCAAATCTTCTTCCAACCGGACTGCAAATTCAGCGCCATTTTGATGAGGTGCTACAGTATTGCGCCAGATTTGGCGCAGCACTGTAGATATGAATATTTTGGTTTTTCCCAAGTTTGCCCTTATAGTTTGTTATAACAAATTAAATATTCCAACTATATCCCATTTTATAGTTTGTAAATAAAATGAATATTCTTTTTGGTGTAAAATTTGGTGTAATGGTTGGAGATGGAATAGTGATTTGGTGTAAAAACTACACCAACTTGGTGTAAAAACTACACTATTTTGGGTTTTTGGGTTGATATCTAAAAAACACAAGTAAGAAATGTCGTAATTTACGCATATAGAAATCGTGCGAGGCCATACATTTGACGGAATTTCTTCGGATTGAGAGAACAAGCTACCAGATATTAAACAATCCTAGTGGCACTGAACCGTAAATAAACGACAAAGCAAGGGCATTATATTTGTGTCCGCTGATGACGGGAGACAAAGGGGAAGGCCTGAGCTTTATATAGAAGAGGGAATTTCGAGGGAGGGGGAAAGCTGGCGATGGCGACGAAGCGCGTCCGATGCGGCGGAGCTCCGGCGATCGACTAGGT